CTCCACTAACATTAGTATCCTAGCTTTCCGTCTCTTCGTCTTTGCCCCCCCCCCCTCTCAATTACTTTCCCATCGCTCATCATTTATATGACTGGCGCCCTAAACCACTGGTCGACACAGAGATTTCTGCTTAAAACATCTTCTTTAATGTCAATTTACCCCAGAAAAAGCAGTACTCACCATACTATGCCACTCTCATTCAATCTCGTTAACAGTATCACGAATATGCAGGCTAAAATAAAAACACTTTGTAAAATATCAGACCTTGAAAAATAGCAATTTTTCCGATATTGATTGCTCCATTGGTGGATCGCTTTCGAGTGGAAAAACAAGCTGCTCAGCTAGCCGATTTTTCTTCACAACTGGTGCCCATTCTTGCAAGTCTCTCCTGAAATAATCTTTTCTGCTATGGATGAGCTAGGGGCTACTCATTTCTTTCGAACTTGAGATGTGGATTGGCAGGGCCATGAAAATCTGTGAGAAAAGATGAAAGATGCATAAGCCAAAAGATCAAAAAATCCGTCTTCTGTGGCTATCATATGGCTTCCAAAAAAAAATAACAATAAATTACTTTGGGGTACCAATATTGAAATATTACAAAATTCCATATGTGTTAAATAAAAACCGAAAAAAAAGCTTCAATTCCATGGGGATTTCCGAACTGTTCACGTTAAGCTCCATGTGTTACTGAGATGCGGTACATGTTAAGACGAAGCGGTACATCGCTATGCAGCTTTCGAGGCACATGAAATACGATCGCCCGAAAAGCCGGGATTTTTCGCGGATTTTCTAACATGGAACTTTTCCCAGTGCTAACCACTGTAGTAATAATTCTTATATTTACCTGATTTCCTCGTAAGCAGCAGCACCTTCAATTCTTTCACGGGCTAGTCGATGCATGGGCGGATGTAGGGTTCGTATATTCTCATCATCGCCTGCTACAGCAGCAGCATTCTTCTTTTTGTTTTTCTTCTTCCTCTTCTTCTTGGCCAATTTCTTCTTCACATCATCCAAGTTTCTGTCATATGCATTTTAATGA